TGAAAGATCCCAACTAAAGCCCTACACACACAGGCACAGGCACTTGCTGGAGCTGGAAGTCATGTTGGGATAGGAAGAGACTTTGAAGGTAGTTCAAGAGTGTGGAATAAATCCTTCAAAGGATTCATCACAACTGTCTGCTTCAAGGATATGGTACAAATCCCTGACTTCCTTTGTAAGTCAGGCTAACAAAAGATACAACATTTTGGTACAGGATCTGCCTTAGTACAAAAGGTGCTTTTAGGTGCCTAAACCCGTCTGAAGAAGAACCTCTGTGCCGAGCATTTGGGCATTTTAATATACACCCCAGCACATATACTTACACAGTTCCAGCAAACTCTAAAGAGGATGGGATACTCTTCCTACTGCACAGTCTAATCCCCCCCAGAGAAAGGCTGAGGTAAGAAACAAATCCTAGAGCATGAGATGCGAGCCACAGGTTTTAGCCGTGTACCAGGAAAAGCTGCCTTTTTCTCCTTCATGATTATTAAGACTTGTGTTTCAAGCTGTTGGACAAACACAGGAGCTGGATGACGTGAACCATGGCTGGGGGAAGTTGGCTAGCACAACTGCTTTCTGCTAGGAGCAAGTATAGACTGGTTTGGGTTGGAAGGTACCTTAAAGCTCACTCAGTTCCAACCCCCTGCCACAGGCTGGGACCCCTTCCACTAGAGCAGGTTGCTCCAAGCCCCTGTGTCCAACCTGGCCTTGAACACTGCCAGGGATGGGGCAGCCACAGCTTCTCTGATGGCATAAGAAAGGAAACTTTCAGCTCTTCTAAGTGCAGGAATTCTCCAGTCCAGGGCCCGAGTGACCTCCAGGACTCCAGGCTCTGGAACACTTTGGGATAAGCTGATCATTTCCTTACGTTCTGCAGTGAAAGAAGTGGCAAAGGCTGTTTTAAACCTCTCCGGCTTTGTTTTCAGAGCTCAAGACAGAAGTGATGACTTGAATATGAACCTTAGACAGCACAGCTTCACTTTTAGGTATACAGCAAAGAGCCTGCATGTCAAAGAAGCCTTTTTTCAGCACCCCTAGGAGATGCAGCAGGACTTGCCAACAGCATTCAGGAGTGTGAAGTACATAAGTACATTATTTAAGTACACTGATTCCATTAAACAGAACCATTTGTTTTCATCCTCTCTGCAAACACATCTGCCTAAGTGCTCCAGCTTCGCAGGGCACACATGGAATTTGGAGCATTATCCGTGGGGATTGTGTGCAGTTGGAAGAAAGCAGAGATACAGCAGTTGCTAAGGGGGGGAAGAAAGGGAGTAGTCAAGTCTTTACTAGTCTGACAGTTCCTAAAATACTGTTGCTTTACTGAAGAATGAACATGCTTATCTCTGATCTACAGATCCTGACTAAAAGGTTACTCTTCCCTTGCCAGAAAAGCATCTTTAGAAGTTTACAACTGCTTGAACAGAGCAGCTGAACCCTGCCAGATGACTTGCTGCTAAGAGAAGGCTGCAGAAAGCCACCTCCTCACATGCAAAGAGAACACTTAGAGCAGAAATGTAGAGGATTTACATTAAAAAATAGCACGTTTCTAGGATTCAGAGCTGTATGTGGCTACCTCATTCATTTGTGCAAAGGCACACATGAGGCAAATCTTGGACTCTGAAGAGTGTTTCCTCCTCCTTCTTGATTGCTCCTGACTAATGAATACTACGAAGAAAACCCAGCTTCTGCCTGGGATTTGTGAATCCCTGAAAAGCACCGTTATTAGACAGCATGAAGTGTGTGCATGCACCTCTGAAAAGCACAGCACTTCACTGCCTGTTGGTATGATCAAGGGTTTTGAGTAGTTACAGGATAAGAACCCCCTACGCAAAGCATTGTGTTTCTGTGGTAAACATTATTACAGGAACTTTCAAAGCACGTATTTCCCACAAGGAAAAGTTAAAGTTCTGTAATTATACCATCATTAAGTCTTTACTTACAAGTCATGGGAGCCTAAAATCTTACTGTCCTTCTTCAACTGCACTGCTGTAACCATAGACATGGGCAAGCGCAAGGACTTGGAATTCCCTCTTGTTAGATCCAGCAACCTCAGAGCCAAGATTTGTATGTCTAGAAGTTCATCTGCCTTCACCTGCCTGCACTGGTTGGTCTCATGCTGTATTACCTCTGAGCACAAAGGTATTACAAAGAAATCCCCACTTCATTTGCTAAACAAAGTTGGAGGGAAAAACATGGATCTTCAAAGTTCCACAGAACCCCAGACTGGTTTGGGTTGGAAGGGAGCTTAAAGCTCATCCGGTCCCAACTCCCTGCCACGGGCAGGGACCCCTTCCACTAGAGCAGGTTGCTCCAAGCCCCTGTGTCCAACCTGGCCTTGAACACTGCCAGGGATGGGGCAGCCACAGCTTCTCTGGGCACCTTGTGCCAGCGCCTCAGCACCCTCACAGGGAAGAGCTTCTGCCTCAGAGCTCATCTCAGTCTTCCCTCTGGCAGGTTCAAGCCATTCCCCTCGTCCTGTCCCTACAGGCCCCTGTGCAAAGCCCCTCTCCAGGTTTCTTGTAGCCTTTTTAGGCACTGGGAGCTGCTTTAAGGCCTTTCAACACAAAGAATTTAATTCCTAAAACATAAAACAGCGTGTGGGGCTGCCTTTGTGCTTCCCCTTCCAGTAGCTTATAGGAGTAGGAAAACTCAGCATTGTTTGCACTGTGCAGCATCCCTATAGATCCCCTCCATCCTTGAAGGACTTCAAGTGTCTAAGCATCCAGTGAGTAGCTAGTATTGCCTGAATTGAACAGAATGCTTCCTAAAGTGTACAACTACTCCTTATTCCAAAGGACATTATCACTTTCCACACTACTTTCCTGATCCAGGGCCTAAAAGCATGCCTGCAGAAGGGAGATTAGATTTTGGCAATAGTCTTTTTACACTGACAGCACTCAGCTTCTGCTGCCAACTAACTGGCATTGAGCAGAGCAATCCAAGAGTGCAGCTTTCCATCCCAGGTATTCATATTCCTCCTCCTAAGCATCCCTTTGCTACATCTGCAAGGCAAGGCAAAGTTTTTGCCTGGAAGCCAGCTATTTGATGAGGCAGGGCACAAAGAGGACCGTGCTGCTGTACAGCCTCTAGCTTTCAGAAGTATTACCACTGGTTCTCAGCACACAGCACCGAGGTCACATCTAGCTGTGTGTCAGGCAGCCTCAGTAATTCCCAGCTCCACTGCAAAGTGGTATTTCAGCCCCCCAAATCCTCTCATCTTCGGGAAGAAAGGCACTGCCAGTACAGATGGATGTTGCATGCTGGCAACAAGTCATGCAGCAGATCCCTCTGAAATATGTGCTGCACAAGCACAGACGTCTCTTGGAGCGAAGGACTCCAAAAATCCTCAGTCTGAGCTTGAGGTTTGGGACTTCAAAACGTGATAGCAAGAAGCAGGCAACCCTGATGGCAATTTCTCAGATGGACCAGGGAGTTTTCAAACCCATGAGACAACCTCAAGCAGTACTGAGATGCTTTCTGCTCCTCCAACCTTTAGCTTGAGCCCGGTTTAAAAGTTGAAAAGACTAAATCTGGACTGAGGCAGAAGAGGCTGAATTCAGGAGCCTCTTTACTACATAGCTAGCTGAGGACAAACAAATTATGTTACATATCCACATGGACTTCTGAACTGATATTCCAAGAGGAACACACTGGTAGCTCAGAGTTTCCAAACCATCCCGTATATTGTGGTTTTTGACCCTGCCTACCGAACTGGATGATCTTAAGGTCCTTTCCAACCCAAACCATTCTATGATTCTATGATTTTCATTTCAGGAAGAGCCTGTGTAGTAACAGGAACAGAAAAATGAGAGCATTTTGACTAAGCAAATCATGGTTTACAACTATCACTTGTTTTCTGTAATTGCTTGGAGGAGGGAAGGAAAAACCAATGCAGCAGCAGAGATTTCAACCCAACCTGAAACTGGACCATCACCTGCAACTTCAGTTTGTCCAACCAGTGTTAACTGGTTGTTAACCAGTGCCATAAGTTCTCTAATGAGAATTTACAATACCTGGGCACATGGTAGGAGGACCCCATGTAAATAACAGTAAATAATAGGGCAAAGTGCTAAGTCAATTGGAAGCCAGGTTGTCTCCGGAACCAGAAAGGCAAACAGCTAGTTAAAACATTGTGTGGAAGTAAGGGAGCACTGGGCCACAACAGGCTTTTCCTACAGAAACCCACTACTTAAAGCAGCACCAGTTTTGAGAAGCTATGTAACATTTATCTCTTCACAGCCTACTCCAGAGAAAACACCCCATCCCCCAGGATTTGCTCTTTATAGAAGTGGTCATGGGTTTCAGTTCTTTTCTTTGACTCGATGGAGTATTTTACATGTCAGAGGTTAAAAACTAATCAGAGCAGGACAAACAGAACCAAACGAAAACCACTTACCCTTTAGTCCATACCTAAAGATCAAAACCAAAAACCAGCTTATAGAATCATAGAATGGTTTTGGGTTGGAAGGACCTTAAGACCATCCAGTTCCAACCCCTGCCATGGGCAGGGACACCTTCCATTAGAGCAGGTTGCTCCAAGCCCCTGTGTCCAACCTGGCCTTGAACACTGCCAGGGATGGGGCACCCACAGCTTCTCTGGGCACCCTGTGCCAGCGCCTCAGCACCCTCACAGGGAACAGCTTCTGCCTTAGATCCAACCTGAACTTCCCCTGGTTCAGTTTGAACCCATCACCCCTTGTCCTATCACTCCAGTCCCTGATGAAGGTCCCTCTCCAGCATCCTTGTAGCCCCCTTCAGGCACTGGAAGGCTGCTCTGAGGTCTCCACACAGCCTGCTTCATTATTCACCTTGTGAGGAAGCTAGGCTTTAAAAGAGGTGGGGATCTGGGCAAAATCCACAACTGCCTCTCAGAAATGGGTATCCTTGTACACGAGACTAACAGCCAGGCTGTGCACAGGCCAGTTAGGAACACATTGCTCACCCCTTGGCAGGGCAGGTGGCTCTCATCGAGCTGCTCCCCTCCCGGTATCACTTACCGAGCGATACTCATAGTAGGTCTTATCAAACTCAGTGCCTCCAATTGTGATCTCTGGAATGAAGAGAGGGATGGCTGAAGGATCCAGCACTCCATCTTTGTCCTGAACACTGCAGGGAAAGCAAGAAGAAAAGAAAAGGAGCAGTTAGTCCACATCCTGCCCCAAAATAGCAACATCTATTCTTAGGGGGACCAAATATTGAAGAACTCCTTTTTTTTTTTTTTTTTGTTAAACACTTGTACAAGGTTTTGGCTCTTTCCTGGTTATGATGAATACTCAGTCCTTCTCCTCACACAGCTACTGTGTTTCTTCCCCTCACCTTTGCCTCCAGTTTGCTCCTGTTCCACCTTTTCCCTGCTTCTCTGTTCCCTCCCTGGAGATGCTCTGTCATTCCTGGAAGGCATCTCTAAGCTTTTTGCTTTCCTAGAAAAGCACAGGAAAACCTGACTCCCACACACTACCTTGCTAAATCCACTTCATTTCATTCCCTCCTGTTCAATCAGTTTGCACACTTTACTCCTTTTGAGGGTTCATTTAAGGTGATGCTCTTCCCCCAGTTCCCATCCAAATGGCTGGATGCTGGGGTAATACCAGGGTTTGGAAGCAGTTTCTCTTGCATCCTGCCTGGCTGTAACTGAGAGGAGATTGCTGCACCAAAACAGGTAACAGGACTCACCAAAACCCTGTCCTGCACAGCAGAAGCCTTTTCAAATACCCCACATTTAAGATGTCTGAGAAACTGCTAGAAAGCCACCTTCTGCATACTGGTATAATGCATAGAGCAAGAGTGCCACCTAGACGTTTTGGGGGCAAAATACATCCATTTGCAGTCAACAGTGAGCAAATTCAGCACTTGAAACTGTAAATTGTGTTGGGTTTGGTGAACGGCATTTACAAACACTTACATACACACAATGCACATGCCCTGAGCAACACACACTTCATCACCTTGAAGCAATTCCTTGTTTCCCCCTAAATCCCAGCTTTTGGGAGCTTATCTCACAGCACAGAACAGTTTCAACAGGTAACGCTAATGTATCCTAATGGACATACTAGATTATCCTACTACAGACAAATTAATAATGAAATGCAATAATCTAGTAGAAACTGAGATGGGAGAAAGGTAAATGCCCTTTTAGAAGACCAGGATGAACATCAAAGAGGATTCCTATCAACTACCACATTATCTATCTTCACCTATATTAAATGTGTTCCACATGCTGGAAGGCAGGGAAATGAACCCTCCTTTGCCTCCTCCCCAATACAGCAAGAGCTCTTTTCACTAGCACTCATCCTCCTGTGGGTCAATGCCAGCCTTCCCGCTCCAGGCCAGCTTGGAATAACCCAGCTGGGATGGAAGAGCTTGCCCAGAACAGTGATTTGATGATGCAACTGGTTTGATTTCTAAATGCCAGCATCCTTCAGGAAGAGCAGCTTTGCCCCTGCAAAGTCTCCTCTCTTGGGGTTCTGCTGAGAAGGTATAAGCTTTAACACTGCTGATTAACCTGGAACTAAAAGAAACAGACCTCAACAGAAAGCAGCCCTTCTGGTACCAGCTCTTCATTCCCTAAGTGCAGGCAATGTTTGAAGACCTCTCACTGAGCTCAGGGTTAACAGCACAGGCTGTGGAAGATGCACTCATCTATCAGGGAATAAACATCTCCAGCCCTTCTTCCCTGCCAAGTAGCAGATGTTCTGGACCTTCCAAGTCTGTAGGAGAAAGCAGATAAAATGTGTCCAGGCATATATAAAGTATAACTTGACACTAGTCAACCAGTCTACAATTAATCCATTCTTCCATGAATCTCAGCCAAAAGGCAATCAGAGGCCAATTCCCAGGCACAATATACCTCAGACAATGATAAGGAGGAAAACCTACTGCTCCTAAAACATCTTTGCTCTCACAAGCAAGAAACCACTGCGCCACAAAACCATACAAACCTAGTGCTACCCAAGGGGGCTCCTCCAGGTTGGGCTCTGCTCTGTACCTGAAGAAGTACCTTTGAGCACCAACTGAAAGCACCACCCAAAGATACCTGCCACAACAATGTCTTTAACCACAGACACACATTCACTTGCCAGATCAGGAAGTGCTTAAAGGCACCTTTTGTTTCCTTCATTTTCTCTCTCCCCCAGCACAAAGTGAGCACTATTTCTCCTTTTCTGGCACCTAACTGTGTTTTCTTGAAGCAGCTCTCCCCATGCAGCAGCATGCTTTACATACCCATAATATTATGTCACACTTCAGACTTAAAGAGCATGTAAGTGACTGTGTGATCCTAACACTGTAGGAACATTAGATTTCAGCTCACGATCATTGCAACCATCCATAATCCTATTAGGAAAGGTTCTTCCCATTGCTACACAGGAATCACACTTGCAAGTACACTTTAGCAATGGGTAGCTCATGTCTTCTCCAAAAGCACTCATCACACACCTACTGCATCCACTATGTCCAGCAGGACACACATGAGAAGGTATGAGGAATTGGGACCAACACATTCCTGTATCTTTTGGGGAGGAAGTCCTGTTTCCCTTCCAGACAGCTTAGAGGATGCTGTACCTGAAGAAACCTGATAACACACAAAGAATTTAGCTTATTCTTCCACCTATGTATAAACCATTGCTTACCACTAAGAACACTGCAAATTCTGCTGAACAAGGAAAGGTAAAGGAAGTGGAGAGTGAAAAGAAGAAGAAAAACAAACCAGTCAGCCAAACAAAGCACAGTTTACATCGCCTGAGCCACGATTTCTCAACTGATGATGTTGGCATAGTCACAAAGCCTGAAGTGACAATATACAGTGTGAGAAAACCACTCTTCCTACCTAAAAGCATTCACTGGTCTAAGAGGCTTAGAAACAAAACCGTATCAAGTTAAATCCTGCCTTTATACATGAAAGTAACTTGAGAAATAGCAGGTGGATCCCACTAGAAAACAGACTGTTTCCTTGCACACCTTGAAAGTAGGTTCTCACTAACCGGTTGTTGTTTTCCAGGTTGGAACCTGAGCAAGCGGGTGGTATTTATTCCTCTGCTATTCTCACCCTTATCACCTCAGCCACAGCTCCTCAACCGCTGCTGCGGTCGGCTTCCCTGCCTCCCATGGGAAAGGTCCAAACACATGCAAGTGAGCCTGTCAGCATGTGATATACTCTCCATTTTACCCATGCTTGTGAGAGCAGGGGAAAGGAGAAATGCTCCTGACTCATGCCATGGGCACATAGAGCTGGGTGGGAGAGATGGTTCCTGCATCCAACTCTTACCATCCCGCCCTCCTGTGCTCCTTCAGCAGGCACACAGGACAGTGGCCAGCTGTGTGCCCCCCATGGGTCTTTCCTTGCCTGTCATTTCTTCCTTACCTGTTTCTTTCCATCTAGATAAAGCCACTGTAAGAGGAAATGACAAAGAACTGTTTCACCTGGAGCAAGAGAGAAGTAAGGTTGGACGGGGCTTGGAGCAACCTGCTCTAGCGAAAGGTGTCCCTGCCCATAGCAAGGGTTGGAAGCGGATGAGCTTTAAGCTCTCTTCCAACCCAAACCAGCTGGGATTCTATGAAGGATGCAGTTTTCTATACTGCCACAAGTTTTACAATTGCTTTATGAGATTCTGGAGTCTCCAGGACAAAGACCTTCAAAAATAAGTCCAATCCACCTCTGGCAAGTGCAGTCCTGCTACCTGAAATCAGCCAAGACAGACATTCACGCATGGACACTTTGCTAAACATGCTTGATGACACTGTGAAACAGCACCAACGGGTCACCCTCATTCACTTCCATGCTTCCCTGTAGCAAGATTTCCTTTAACCAGAGCAAAATATAAAGGAAGGAAATAGGAGTCAGGCTCAGGGGTTAGCAAAAGCTCAAAGAAGCTAAACAAATGTTAAGAGAACTTACACATTACAAGTTATTGCACATACAACATCCTTTAGTAACAACCTCAACATTTATGTCTTATGTCCCACTAAATATGATACTAGAGGATTTAATACACAGGGTTTGGGGTGCACTTAATAGTTATTACTGAACACAACTGAACAGCTGAGAGTGGCAAGCTATTTGATGGCTAGATTGCTTCCAAATGGAACTAGATTCCTACTTCATCAAGCCAAAACAAATGCTCATACTTCTCTTTTTCCTTTTGTTAATTAAATTAGTGTTGGCTGAAAAAAGCCAAAGATTTGTCCATACAAAATATGTTCTGCTCTAGCAAATTCCAAAGGAGCTGTGGGCAGATTCACTGTGGACCTGCCTGATGAAACAAGTCCAATGCAGTAAGGTCCCCCCATCAACTGGTAAAGTAACACAGGTGACATTACACCAACTACAGCTCTTCATTCCAAGCCATTGGATTTGCAATACTTTGACAGACACCCAATTTCACTGCCAAGGGCACAGACAAAAACATGCCTGAGACTGCAGTGGCAACAGAGGAACTCCCTGAATGGTTTCTGTTGGACTCAGCACTTGTAGAGGAAGGAAAACTGTGAAGAGCATCTTCTGGGAGATCCCTTCAGCTTCCACACACAAATATATACATTTAACCTTTTACCAAGGCATGTTATACCCCACAACCACACTACTTTATTAAGGAAAGAGGGCAAGGCAGGGAGATGAAAGGTATCATTGTGCAACTGAGTTTTATACAGGTGTAGCTCACCAGTTTGGTTAACTTATTTGCATTACCAAGTTAGTCAGAGGCCCTGCTGGGGTCTGGTTTGGGTTGGAAGGGAGCTTAAAGCTCATTCAGTTCCAATTCCTTGCCACGGGCAGGAACACCTTCCACTAGAGCACATTGCTCCAAGCCCCTGTGTCCAACCTGGCCTTGTTCCTGTACATTAGACCTTATATACATGGTTCTGACCACTGCTAATCAATCAATCCCTTTCCCCAAACCAGCTGAAGGTGGAAGAGGCAAAAGTGACAACAGCCAAGGAGCACCAGAGTGGGATTATGACCGCAGCACCCTCCTGCTCAGCACGAGTCAGAGCACATTGTCCCTCTGCCAAGCATCAGATGTGAGCCAGCCCAAGGCAGGAGTGGGCTGTGCAAAATGAGACCAGTGAAGGAAGCAATTGCAGATGGATACAGTAAATACCGGCTGCAGCCTTCCAGAAACACCCAGGAGAGGGCAGCATGTGCCAGCATATGGAACAGGCACCACCAGGAGCAGTCACAGAACCCATTGGGTTGGAAGGGACCCTTATCTACTCCAACCCCCTACAAGAGGCAGGGACATCTTCATCTAGATCAGGTTGCATAGAACCACATCCAGCCCGGCCCGGAATGTCTGCAGGGATGGGGCATCCACCACCTCTCTGGGCAGCCTGTGCCAGTGGTTTACCACCCTCACTGTAAACTATTGTTCCATCATATCCATCCTGAATCTCCCTCTTTTTGTTCTAAAACCGTCACCCCCTTGCCCTGCTGCAATAGGCCCTGCTAAAAGTCTCTCCCCATCTTCCTTATAGGCCCCTTTTAAGAGCCAAAAGGCTGCAATAAGGTTTCCCTGGAGTCTTCTCCAGACTGCACAACCCCAACTCTTCAGCCTTTCCTCGCAGGAGAGGTGCTTCAATCCTCTGGTTATTGTGGCACTTCTCTGGTCCCTCTCCAGTCTTTCCTGTACTGAGGACTCCAGAGCTGGATGCATTCTCCAGGTGGAGGCCCACTAGAGCAGAGGGGCAGAACCATCTCCCTTCTAAGGTTTCCCTGGAGTCTTCTCCAGACTGCACAACCCCAACTCTTCAGCCTTTCCTCGCAGGAGAGGTGCTTCAATCCTCTGGTTATTGTGGCACTTCTCTGGTCCCTCTCCAGTCTTTCCTGTACTGAGGACTCCAGAGCTGGATGCATTCTCCAGGTGGAGGCCCACTAGAGCAGAGGGGCAGAACCATCTCCCTTCACCTGCTGGCCATGCTCCTCTGGATGCAGCCCAAGATACCATTGGCTTTGTGGGCTGCAAGCACACACATGCCAAAATTCTCTTTCCAAAAGGAGAAGTTCATGCAGGCATGGGACAGCTACACATCTGTACAGGGCTGGGAACCACAAGCTCTTGACAACTTGGCCATCAGAATACTCAAGGAAAGGATCAGCTTGAAGGTGCATGAATTAGCACCTGAGTTCAGCATTTGATGCTTTGGGATTCAATTCCAACACGGAATCACAGACTGGTCTGGGTTGGAAAGGACCTAAAAAAACATCTATTCCAACCCCTGCCACAGGCAGGGACACCTTCCACTAGAGCAGGTTGCTCCAAGCCCCTGTGTCCAACCTGGCCTTGAACACTGCCAGGGATGGGGCAGCCACAGCTTCTCTGGGCACCCTGTGCCAGCACCTCAGCACCCTCACAGGGAAGAGCAGTAAAGAGAGGTAGTCCTCAAACTCCAAAATATGTTGAACAAAAACACTGATGTGTATGTAGAAAAGGGAGTTCAGACTTACACTTTCATCTATGTGTTCCAGACGAAGCAGCTGTAGAAGTGTTCTGGTTTAAAATGCTTTTCTGTGATCACCCAGGAATAGAAGTGCACACAAAAATACCTTCCTAAATGCCACAGGTCACAGCACTGAGGAAATACCTGGAGAGTTGTTGTGCTTTGTGAATGGGATCTATTCATCCAGAGTCTCTTGTCTGATTAGCAGCAGCAACAAAATGCCACAGCATATTATAGTGACAAGCACGGATATTACAAAAGCCTGCTATTATCACTGCTACCTTCTGAAAAATCCAAGTCAAAGTGCAAATACAAGCATTCCTTTAAAAGCTCAAGACTTGAACCCTTTTCCTTGAGACCTGATGCTAAGTCATGTTCAGTTCCTGGAAGACATCCTACTTACTAAAGTCTCAAATGATGGAAAGAAACATCATCCTGCTCCAGCCATGGCCCCTTGTCAAACTTCAGGTACTCGATGTCTTCAATGACCTGGAATCAGTAAACAAAAGTCATATCTGAGAAGTGGTCTGATCAGAACATCCCCAAAACCAGCAATGAACATGCCCCCCCAAAAAAATCAATGAAATGATGAAAATCTACTATTCAGTCACACAGCAAAAACTGTATTCACAATGAAAATGTTTGGAGCTAACACCTCATCTCCCAGTCATATTTCCTCCCTGGGCAGGCACACAGGGGCCAGCTCTAAAGTTCCTGCTGCTTTCAGCCTTGGCCAGCAGAGGATGGCAGCAAATGCATCACCTGAGAGGTGCCTTATTTCCAAACAGTTACCTCTTACCTTCTTCAACCTGCTGCTGGGGCTGAAAGGAAGGAAAGAAGGTATGGCCCCAACTCTAAGGTAGATTGAGAATGGGAATAAGTCTAAATTTAACCACCTTTTGTTGTAAACAAAAACCACAGAATCAGAGAATGGCTACGGTTGGAAGGAACCTTAGACCTCACCCATCCAGTTCCAACCCCCCGCCTGGAGAACAGCCTTCTCTTCTCCAGCTGCCCCAGCCCAGCTCTCTCAGCCTGGCTCCAGAGCAGAGCTGCTCCAGCCCTCGCAGCAGCTCCAGGGCCTCCTCTGGCCTCGCTCCAGCAGCTCCACGTCCCTCTTGTGCTGTTCCCCAGAGCTGGATCAGGACTGCAAGGGGGGTCTCCCCAGAGCACAGCAGAGGGTCAGGATCCCCTCCCTGAGCTGCTGCTCACACTGAGCAAACCCCATCATGCTACATAAGAAGCCTGTTTATTGTTTTGTTCTTTCCCAACATGGTTGTGGAGCAATTGTGGCAACTGCCTCTCGGTGTTGCTGTGTGTGCTTCACACCCTGAAAGTAGCCATCCAAAGGCTCACAATTTCATCAGTCATCAGGACCTACCCATGCATGTACCCTGAGCAGAAAGGCAAAACTCACAACTCAGCACTCAGAACCATTCAAACGTGGAACACCAGCTCAGCAAATCATTCCTTCAGCATCCCCAAGCTTCTCAATCTCCTGTCTGAGCTTTATTTACAGCCTGGCTCCATCAGAAAACACATCTTTGCTGGTTCACTGGGGAATTGCTTCACACGAGCTTGAGGTTATCACACCCAACTGACTAGATCTGAAGGAAACCTGAACCAGTATTGGGAAGATGCACTTCAGATGCACGATGAGGTGGAGATACTACCTGGAAGCAACTTGGGAAGGAGGGGGTTGTTACAGCTTCAAACATCACTTTTCAGAGGCCTTTTCCAGAAGGAAAGGATAAAGCAAGGAGGTCAGGACCAAAATCCTGATGACACATTGTCATCCCATTAATACAAGTAAGCAGATGCCAGGAATATAGTGAGTGATAGAATAAGTAATGAAAATTGCTTCTATTCTTTACTGTACATTAAGTCCACTCTAATTATTCCCTGCAATCACAGCAAACACCAAATCCCATCTATTACCACTTAAAAGGCAATAACAAAGTGCTATTACAAAGTAGGTTTGACTATAAAGGTCCACTCTACTACCAGTATTGTTTCTATGGTAAGAAGTAACAGCTTAGAGCTATGACTGCATTAGTATTTTTCCTTGAGGCATCTGTATTTCTTAAATACTAATTTTGCTGACAAAGGCCTAAAAAAATCCCTATGGTTGACATGACACCACCAAAACATATGTAAGATTTCAAGCAAGCACTCTAACACCTACCCCTCTTATGTTGGGGGCTGGACCTATATCCTAAAACAATATAACCAGCTTCATTTCTCTTCTCCTCTAACAGAGGAAAGGAGAGCATGAAGTGGACTCTGGAAGGATTATCAGAGTTTGCAAACAAGAAACAGAGGCTAAAAATACTAAAATCAAAAAGACATCTCTGAAAAGGTATTTTTAGTGCAAGTTGAGATCCTTACTGCTACTACAGAATTCAAGCAGGGATTCACCATGGACCATTCATCCCTAGAACTGAAATGGGCCCACTACAAACCTGTCCAGAATTACAAAGTGCTTCTTGCTCTGAACAGCAGGGGACAGCAGCTACAGAGAAAAGTTAACAGTGGAGAAGCAAAAAGCTTCAGTTACCAGTAGTAACTCTCCATGAGCAAGAATGTTCACTGAAAGAAGGGAAATGTATTACACCTACTCCAAAAAATAACACGCTTGAGTAGGAGGAAGCACTGATCTCATGTCAATCTTGACACATAAAGAGATGGCTCATTTCTAGCAGTGAGAAGGCAATTTATCTGGCTTGGTCCAGGGCTAAAGTGCGTGGCAAAACCATTCGGAGACAGTTTAGGTATCATGTGCCAGGTCATACAGGTGAATGCCCCAAGTTACAAAGCCAGTAGCAGCTCTGGATATCCAGCTCTTTGCTATAACCAACTCATGACTAGCTTTTAGATAACAACAGCTATTTTATCACATAGAAACCTCTGCACCCACCTGGCTTATAGGCAGCTGCACAATGACAAAAGCCAACACAGACAAACCTTATGCTGGAAGGCAAAGTCTCAGTTGAATGCTGGGGGTGACTTACGTCTTTCTATTGTGTCCTCTTTACATTTCAGTCTTGGAAGTTTAACAACTCATCAGTATACACAGCAAACTCTTACCTTCTCCACATCCTCTGCCTCACTTGCTGTGTACTGCAGAATTTCACTGGTCTCACTGCAAAGAAGAGAAAGAGTGAATTCCTGTGATCTATTTGTTCTAACCATCCTCTTCCCCTGCTCCAAAATGAAGCAGAAATGAAGTTAAAAGACCCAAAACACAGAAAGAGAATCATTATCTTAAGGTGCTCATAGAGTTCTTGTCACTGAATTCCTATTAGACCTGTAAGTTGCTTCTTTCCTGGTGGGAAATTGCTTTTAAAGAACAAATGACCTATGGTACCTACATAGTTTCAGTTCAAAATCGAAAAGTAATCAAAATCCCACCTATTCATTTCCATTTCACTACTGGGGATACTTGGACCCAATTACAATTCTCAATCTGCCTGAAACCAAGCGAAGCTTTCAACCAGTCTAACTCCAAACTTCCATACACCTTCCTTTTTTAAAGTGCATTAATACCTGGGGGTATTTTTTAACAGAAGAACAGCTTCATTCATCATTATTTACCAAGGCTGAGCTTACTCAACCAGTATCAATGCAGGCAGCAGGATCTGTAAGTCTAAAACCACTTAAAACAGTCAAGAGCTTCCTGGTTACATGATTATTTGCTTATTCATACAGCATGGAAAAGTCACTTGCAGAGCAGGGCCACAGCAGGAGTTCCTATATTGAACACATTTCACTCCTACACACCCACAGGCACCCTCAGGAACATCAAAGCTCACACAGTTCCAACCCCTGCCACAGGCAGGGACCCCTTCCACTAGAGCAGGTTGCTCCAAGCCCCTGTGTCCAACCTGGCCTTGAACACTGCCAGGGATGGGGCAGCCACAGCTTCTCTGGGCACCCTGTGCCAGCGCCTCAACACCCTCACAGGGAAGAGCTTCTGCCTCATCTCAATCTCCTCGCTGGCAGGTTCAAGCCATTCCCCTTGTCCTGTCCCTACATCCCTTGTCCAAAGCCCCTCTACAGGCTTCCCGGAGCCCCTTTAGGCACTGGAGCTGCTCTAAGGTCTCCCCTTAAGGAGCCTTCTCTTCTCCAGGCTGACCCAGCCCAGCCCTCTCAGCCTGGCTTCAGAGCAGAGCTGCTCCTAAACCTGCTCCAAGAGTTGACTCCAAATCTGTACCAGTTGCCCTGGAAAACCTTTCCTTTATTTAACAAAAACTGAAGAGAAAATGAAACAGCTGCCAGATGTGCCCAGTGTATCCGACACCACACTGGAAAGCTGAAAAGCATGGAGACTTCTGCTTAGCCCAAGCACTTCCAAGTTTAATCGGATTAAAGCTGGCAACCTAGGTTGCTCTAAGTAGTCACAGTATCAAAATAACTTAAAATTGCAGCAGACCAAACTAGTTCCTGGTCTGCATGAACACTGGTCAGTTAAAACTGCTCTGATAAAGTTCATTTATAATCACTTGATTAGAGCTCTTGTTTTGACTCTGCAGCTTCTTAGAGCTCTCATTAAAAGAGCTGCTCAGTGGAGGCAGTACTGAATATGATAGAGAACATTAGGAATCTTAGGGCTTTGGTCCAGAGAAGCCTGTTTGAGTCAGATTTTGGTCATCCTCAAGAGTCTTAGTCTGCCCAAAGACTAACAGCCAGATGGAATATAGATCACTGCAGCAAACAAACAGTTACAGACAGTTGAAGCTTGTGTATATTTATCCAATATACAAGGCAGCAGCAAGGTCCAGAGATGCACAAAGCAGAAGCTTCATACCATCACAACTTCCCTACATCAAGAGGGCAGAGGCATCCTTTAGATCCAAGCACAAAGATCGATTTGACAAGCTCCTGCAAGCCCATCTGCTGAGGAGGGTGCCAAGCAGAGGGTGTTTGCTTTACAAGTGTAC